GACGCCACCGGCCCCGCGTATGCGCGATAGAGTGTGAAAAGGAGCTCGCCGTCCCCCTGCCCTCTTTCGCGTTCGAATTGTTGATTCTACGTGTTCCTGGCATTGTCTGACTACTTGAGCGGCCTCCGCAAAATTACTAAGGCTCGTTACACCGCAAAACTTCGTGTGAATAATGTGACATGCGGCGATTCATTCCGCGTGGACGCCGCAGAATGCACGCTAAAGCCCGATTCGCATGATGAGATTTCGCTCGCAATTTTCAGTTGCGACGTCGCTCGGGCTGCAAAAGTGTGAACCGTGGCTGAGATGGTCGACGTCGATACTGAAAATCGCAAGCAGAATCGGACCAAGTGAATTAGGCATAACAAGTCGGTAATGGCCACTGGTAACAATGATCAACATCTCTTCTATCCGCTGTTTACCTCGAGCCTGGTTACCAACCTTCAAACTAAAGTTCCTTGAGGCCTGCACTTACTTCTTATCGCAAGTACCGAGCCAACAGTTGGTCTACGGGCCGGTGTCGTCTAAAAGAGCAGACAACAAGCAGAAACGTTTGAAAGAACAGACGACAGTTCGAACGATCAAGCGAATCCATGAATTCAACCCAAAGTGCTTCCCGCCCAAGCAATCGTGGTCCGACGGCGTATGGTTTTCCCTTTTGACGGATCATATCCATAATCCCGGACGAACCGAGCACATAAACACTAACCTTCAAACCTTTCTCGACTCTTTTGGTGCAGCCCCAGTCGCGGCGTTTTGACGAGAAGGCAGGTTTTTGTCTGGTTCCTTTCAAAGCAACGCAGGAATACGAGTCTCACATGGGGACTTCCGCCCACAACCCTAGACCGGAAGTGCGCCCGACGCACCACCACCGCGCCGTGACATAGCACAGACGAGTTTGTGGTCACTTCCGGCAATGGGGCGCTAACAGCACCCTGAAGAAGGTATGGAGAAAAGTTTATTTTTAGAGCGCAGCTCTTAGGGGCCCGTTTCCGGCTTGAGCGGCGTCGCCGTCGGCGTCGCCGTCGGCGTAACCGCAAGGTCACGTGACTCCCCCGAGGTCACGTGACCCACCCAGGTCACGTGACACGCCTAGGTCACGTGACCCCCCGAGGTCACGTGACCCCCAGAAGTCACGTGACCCCCCTAAGGTCACGTGACCCCCTGAAGTCACGTGACTTCTGGGGGTCACGTGACCTCAGGGAGGTCACGTGACTTCAAGATGGTCACGTGAACCACCCAGGTCACGTGACCCCCTGAAGTGACGTGACCCCCTTGAGGTCACGTGACCCCCCTAAGGGCATGTGACCCCTTCAGGTCACGTGACCCCCTGAGGTCACGTGACACCCCTGAGGTCACGTGACCCCCCTGAAGTCACGTGACCCCCTGAAGGTCATGTGACCCCTTCAGGTCACGTGACCCCCTGAAGTCACGTGACCCCCGTGAAATCACGTGACCCCCTGAAGTCACGTAACCCCGTTGAGGTCACGTGATCCCCTAAGGTCATGTGCCCCCCGGGGTCACGTGACCCCCTGAGGTCACGTGACCTCAAGGAGTCACCTATTTCTCAGTACGCTTCCATCTTCCTCCTCAAGAGCTGCGCTCTAACCGGCGTTACAGGGAATTGTAAACGGCTTTTATTTTATTTTTTTAATTTCGATAGTTATTTATGTGAACTTTCACAATAAAAGAAAATGAACTACAATTAAGTTATTATTTTTAGAAAATATAATAAACCAGCATATTACCTTCGGCAACTAGTCAAATTCAAAACCTAAGTTCGTTAGCGTCCGCTGACATATGTGCATAACCAATCGGAGCAGGCGACGCGCGCGGGCGCCGAGGCTCAAGTTAATTAAAATACAAGTAACGCGTTTTTTTTTTTTTTTTTTTTTTTTTAACAGGTAAAGACAGCGTTCACATTTAAACGTCGGTACAGTTTGCGGAGATGCTGGTAAGACTGGGGTTTCGAGTGTTTCTGTTCTTTCACGAGTACTACGCTCCCCTGTATTCGTAACGAACGCGTTGGTACGCGGAGCGCAAGTTCGTCTGCTTCTTGCACAGGGGTTGCGATGATGTCAGAAGGCCGAGCTCCCATTGGCTGATTAAAAAACATGGTGGGTAGACCCCAATGCATCTAGCCATTGAGATCTACCCACAATCCTTTCCAGCAAAGTCAATCAGAACTCGGCGTCGTTCTGACGTTACGGCAACCCTTGCGCGAGAAGCAGACGACTTGCTCTCCGCATAAGTTTCTGGCAGAAACACTAAAACAGTGGGAACGTACGGCACAGACTCAGACACGACTGTCTCGTCCTCCATTTTTATTATTTGGGCTAGAAGTATTATGCTTAGTTTCACTTGAGTGCGAGCATAGCAGAAGTTACAACAGCGAGCTACAGGCTGTCAGCGTCCATAAGGCGTCATTACCAAGTACCCGTACTCCTGCAGCAAGCATCGTTAAAAGCAACATATGCGTGTGTTTGTACTTTCGGCTTCGCTCACACATAAAAGTGCCAGGTTTTACATGCTAACGCGCGTCAATTGTTAACAAGAGCTACCAAATAACAGCATATTTGTGTATGCTGTTTTGCCTCTTCGAGAAGGTACATATAATTCCGCGTCAGGTACGAAGTTGAGCTTCAAGGCGTACCTACTCCTACAGTGGATTCAGATAAACAATGAAATAACTCCGTAGTTCCACATCTCATGTCTGTGATGTTGGTTGTGGTTTCTGTTGACCCGTTGCTGGGTTACCCGGCTGAAGGGCCGGCTTCGGTTGTGGGTTGAAATATTCCGAGGGCGTGCCAGATGGCCGATCGTTGGCTCGGCACGTAAAGCTCCCAAATTTGCCTGTTTGCCTTTCCTCAAACATAGAAATATGTCAGTAAAAGACTATTACGACACCAAAAACAAATTGACGACCATGATTCCGCGCGTCGTTCATGTCTCCGACGAATAACAGCCGAGAAACGAAGCGTAGCCTGGTTTACTCTCCATTCGCTAATGGGTAGGGCCAGGGCTACCTCCACCTAAACTACGTTGAACGGCCGAAATATTGTGCGATCTTTTTCTTTTTTTTTATGTCAAATATAAGCTTTTTTTTTTAAATATTATTTCGGTAATTTCTAGACGCAGCGTGCGGATTCTACCGTTCAACAAATAGAGTTACCAGGTACATTCAAACGTAAGAATCAGTTAAAAAATAAAACAAACTCGAAATATTAAATAACAATGTACAAGATGCGGTACTCAGATCAATGGCACACTACGTCGTGACAATTGTACGGCGACATTCCCCGTAACGTCTTTAGAACCTAAATAACTAAAAAAAATCCGTATGAAATTGCTCTGTTGTCAGATTGATGCACCTATGTCGTTTTTGCTTTACCTGAGTTGTTGAACACAAGAGGAGCCAGGATGTCCGGCTCTTTTCGAGTGGATGGTGGCTCCGCGCTGAAAGAAAAGCCGATGTCTGGAGAGCTTGTATTATGTGGGCGAGTCAATAAACCAATTTATTTTGTAGCATGGGATGATGTGTGCTCAGCAGCTCAAGGGGACAAGCAACAAGAACGCAAATGAACTGGAGACAGGCAATTAGTATACCATGTGCCACGAGACCCTTCAACAGCAGGAAGGATTGGTTTGCAATGAAAGTACTAAAGCACGAGGCGGACATAGTTCAATCACCCAAGCGAATTGGGGACACCTCTGCCAATCGTGCCTGTAGCCAAACCAAACAGCCAAAATCGATATGATTGAGTTAGACTGAAGCATCTTACCGAATTGGAGCGTTCTGGCCGAACTGGAGTTTCTAGCCAAACGGAGCACCTAGCCATGTTGCAGCGTCCTGCCGAATTGTTTTTTTTTTCAGTCAAATGGACCCAATGCCGGACTGATATCAGGCTTGGCTTTCTTTGCAAGCTTCTTTATTTTAGCTGTCCTTCAACGTTGCTGAGAAAACCCCATCCTCCCGGAGAAAGGCGGTGCAACCGGTGGGGAAGCGCAAGTGAAACCGGAGCGGAGAAGCAATGTTCCCCCTTGGGGCGGAGTTGGGACCCCGTGCCTGGGGAGGGAGATGGGGAAAGTCTGGCGGGCGATGACCCGGAGGTCGGTTGCGGACGTGTGTAGTCTGGCCGTAGCGTGTAAATAAATGTAAATAGGTTAATCACCCTGGTTTGAAAGCACACAAAAGACGAGGACAGAGTAAGAAACACGTACGACGGACAAGCGCTCACTCGCAATTGATATGTTTATTTGAAACCTCAGAAAACACAAAAGAGCATCCCGCTCCGCAGATCGCTCATGCGCACTGCACCTACTTGTTGCCAAAAATACACATCTTAAAAAAAAAAAAAACAGTAAAGAAAGAAACATTAATGATTTTTTTTTTCATTCAGGCCGCAGCAATTTCGCTTTTTTTTCTGCGCTGCCGCTCTATTATTTACACCTTCTTTTAGCTGATTTCACGTGCTCGATTTGCTACCCCGATGAGCATCTAGCCTTTTTAAGAGGAAATAAACGCCGATATATTTTGATGAATGTAGCGGCCGATATGAATCCCGAAAAAATATAAATCTAACCAGACCACGGGGTGTCAGCGAAGTACAAGCTTGCTTTCTCAAGCTAAGCGACACACGAGTCGGAGGCGAACGATGACCATCAGCCGTCACACGCACTCTTATTGATAGCTTTCATTTTCGGCAACTTACTGACCTCATAGCAGCCGGCTTTCACTCTTTGGCGAAAACGCAGCTAAGTACAGGAATTCATAGGTCTACAGGTACGCACCAATACACGCGGCAATGCAATACGCCTACCGCTTACCAACACAAACCCTAGCACAGCAATAACGTCACATGATCCCCAAGATGGTTTGTTTCTTTCCGCGGTTGTTAAACGATGTTCCGAAACTCCCGGGTGCTTAGCGTAGCATTCTTGACACCCAACAACGCGGGCCAGCTTTCCCTTGAATAGTTGTGCTCTTTTCTTGGAAACACAGTTTTCGACGTACACCATCCTCAGGTCCTCTTGGTCCTTGAATTTGAAAGGATTAGCAGGTTTTTCCCTGGTAGGTTGACGGCGGTGATGAGACCTTACTCGTCCTCGGTCTCGCCGTTGAAGCGGGTGTATGCGCCGCCAGCGGCTTTCACAGCCTCGTAGTTGGACGATGCCGGCCGGTTCATGACCAATGCCTGCAACAAGTACGGAGAATCAGGGCTGGAATACGCGCCTGGTTGCGGAGTCGGGAGCCATGGCACCCCAAATCGGAAGCGGTGAGCGCCTTGTCCCATTAAAAGAAACAAAGAAAAATTACAGAAAGATTCGTTGGTGAATTCTTAAGGAATGCGTTAGCATGACCCTTCGAAACGCCATACACGTCCTCCTTTGGGAAACAATGGGAAACAATAATGCTGATCCCTTCACTTTTCACTTTATTTTTACAGCGCAGCTCTCATGTGCCCGTTTCCGGGTTGAGCGGCGTCGGCGTAACCGCGCGCGTTACATTATGGGACGTCACAGTTTCACCGCTAAATTTAGCGGGGAAAGTAAATTGGTGTTGAGGTCACGCGACATCAATTTCGCCGCTAGATTTAGCAGGGAAATTTCCGGTAAATTTAGCCGGAAAATGTTCGCTAAATTTCCCGCTAAATTTAGCGGGGAAACTTAACCCGCTAAATTTAGCGATACTTTCCCGCTAAATGGGAGCAGGAAAGGGTGCGTAAGAGGAGGAAAGGCATACCCTCCTCCTTACCCTGCCCTTCTCCTCCCCAAGAGCTGCGCTTTAATTTCACATTACAGGGGATTGTAAACGTCTTTCAATTTTTGGATTTCTCTTTTGCTTCCTTCTTTCGGCCTCGTTCGGGGTCCTTCGATAGGACTCTCACAGACGTGGTCCGTCGCCTGATTTGGCAATTCTTCCTTTGTATTATACGTCGCAAGAGGTTCAGTTGTGCATATTTCAGTGATGGAAGTGCTGCGCCTATTGCGCCAAATTGCGCCAAGGACGTGATCCTGCTACATGGAGCTCCACATTGTCATTTTACCGAAGAATTGCGCCATGCCTGCGCAGAGATGAGATGTAGCAATAAAAAATAAAAATTGAAGTCTTATCAGAGCGCGTGGCGGTACCGCGGTATTTTCCGCGCCGCAACGGTTACGCAAACCGAAACTGCGAGGGCACATTATGATCATCATCATTGAAAGGAACAACGTTAGCAACATCTCAGACCAAAGCCGCAGAGGCTAAGCAAAGAACCATCCCACTGAGCAGCCTATTTAAAAAAAAAAAAAAAAAGGCCGAGCTTGTGGATGTTTTTAATGTTGGTCCGCCCTGTTCCCGTGCGCTAGCTACCAGCGAAGTGAAAGCTAGCGCGAGCCCAATGCTCTGTGCATTCCTGACTCGCGCGTGGGCTCGTGCAGTGGGGGCACCGTTACGGGCTCCATGCGCGCGCTTGTAACTTCGGCTGCGTTCGCACCGAAGCTGAAACGAAGTATAGACGCTTTGCAGCAGCTGTGCATGGGCGCCGCCATAACTGACGTTCAGTTTTTGTTTCCTCTTATGCCGTTCGCTTCACTTCATCATTACCACAGCAGGACAAGTTATGGCCACATTAGATTCAACTGTGTCCTTTTCTAAAGCATCGGCCTTTGTAGGGGATCGTCAACTACCGTTTCAGTTGCTCGGCATCTCAGTAAGACAAGAGAAGGTCAGCAATGGCGGCTGTAATCTGGCGCGTGTGTAAAGCGTCTATAGTTGAGTTGCACCAAACTCTGGATGTAGTGCTGGTAAAGGCTCACCGTCCTTTTCGGAGCACAAAGCACTGCGCGACTCGCGCGACTGCGGTGTCTGCTCCGCGGGTGTCGCTTCTCTGCAGCGCGTCGGTGCAAGCCAAGGAGCGCACTCAATGGGTTAACTCGCCGTGATTCGATCGTGACTTCGCCAGCACATCGAAAATGAATCGGAATTTGTGAAGCGAATATCAGATACCGCAATATTGGAAGCTGCTGCCCGAAAGACAACTCTGCTCTGAACTAAAACATTCCACAACAGTGAGGGTCGTTAGATGCTGCTGCAGATACCTTAAACGAAGTGCAGGCTGATAAAACTAAATATCCTGTACCATCACAACTCAGTGTGACATATTTAATTGTATTTTTTTTATCTGACGAGCAGATAGACTTTATTTTAAAAATTGTGTTTTTTGTGTTTACTTTGTCGAATTTATATATCCTGTCTTAAAAAGGCGACAGGCGCTGTGTTCCAATGATAGAGATGGGCTTTATATAGCAATGCAGCATTATTTCATTTTCTAGTATTATGCTAACATATGCCGGACCCTGCTCCAAAAGGGCCGCTACCTGCTCCAAAACAACATTTTGCCTGCTACAAGGCCTGCTCCAAAAGGTCAAATGGCACTTCCATCACTGATATTTAGAAGCAGCAAATTTCGAGAACTTCTAGCGACAGCTTTTTTGCCCTTCATGCACCTGGGAACAAAATACTTTTTGCCGTCGGAAGATTTTTAAGTGGCGTGGCGAAATTACAAAGCAGTCGATAGAACAAGTGGCAACTAGTGTCTCTAGCGGCTCTCACTGACCGCCTAAGTACGTATGAAGGTATTTCTACGGCGCAACCTCTTTAAATCGAGAGTCTCTATTTAATAGACACGCCCAGAAAAGTCAAAGAAAGAGAGTCGCGGAAATTTTGTCTCATCCCTGATCTGCCAAGCAAGCCGCAAGCACGCCGTGCTCGAGCCTCCGTTCGGGGCCTCACGGCGCTTATCCGAACTGCGAGTGAACCTGCGCTACGCTTGCAGCACGGCGATGCGGCGCTGTTCGGACGCCTCTCTTTTTTTCACATGCGCCAGTGTGCACCTTCGTCCACAAGAGTGTTAACAGCAAATGTGAGGGTCAATGCCTCATAAACGTTTTGTGGCGGGATGCAGAAGAAACCGTGCGAGGAAACCGAAGGTTCACATTCTATTCCCCCCAAGGAACGATCGACCGTGCGACGAATGGGTTAAGGCAAAACCCCAACAAGACTTTCAAATGGCGAGCTATTCGGAAGAAGTTCGTCAAGCGGCTACGCAGGTTTTTAAAGCGATGTTATACCGATAGCTTTACGGGCGACGCTTTGCAGTGATTGAAAGTTTTTTGCAAAGTGCGAAGCAAAAACTTAGGAGTTAAATGCGCGAATCGTATTTAATGCATACATTTTAGTGTAAAATAAATGAAGATTTTGGAACTCTCTACAATACACAGCCTAAAAAAAAGTTTCTACACCGCCCACGGCCCACTTAACATTTTTTTTGTGAATTTGTTTTTAAAACGCGTTTATTTGATGTGTTCCGTATATTTTTGTGCGTGGAAGTCTTTTATTGTAATTTTGTAATTCAATTGTAATTATTTTTAAAATAAAATAAAAATAGTAATACTGTGAAAAGCTCAACCCTGGTCTTATAAACAACGGCCAAATTTGCGAAAATATCAAATCGTATTTGACGAAATCTACCAGATGAAATTTTATAATTTGTTTGTATAAACCTGTTGAGTTATGATTGTTTAAAGCGCACACTCGTCCATTTTTGGTCTTCAACATCCACATACATGTATTTGAAAACCATACCCCCCCCCCCCCCCCCCCCAAAAAAAAAAAAAAAAAAAAAAAAAGAAAGAGAAAGTTTTGTCAATTTAAAAGAAAAACAACACATACAAATTTCGGGGCGAGTCTTTATCACGATCAGGATTATTCTTAAATATAAAGGCGTCCTGAAACGGGCTGCTATTCACGAACAAAAAAATGAACGAGAGAAAGATGGTTACTTTTTTTTTTCGACGGACTCCAAAATTTTCCGTGAATAGGGAACTAGAGAAAATTATTTTCCCAAGCCCGATGCAACACTCCGGACGCGCGCTGCAAAGCATGCTTCAAAATGAAAGAAAGAGAGATTCCGATATCGATACGGTTTTACGAAAACTCAATTTTCTGAAACGCCTCATAGCGGAACAGAAAATTAACATTTTTATTCCAAACATATGATTTGACAGCGCAGTGCTCTACGATGCATAGAAGAGACTTTTCCAACATTCGCTTTCTGCGATTGTGACCCTCGTCCTGCATGGAACGCGTTCCAGATATGCGCAATATTTTGTCCAGAGTTTAGCTATCGCGTATAGTTTGCAAAGCTGCAAACATATGTATGATGCGTGCGTTCCCAATTCAAGGACAGCGCAGATTTTTTCTTGATGATAGGCACTTGGAGGTACAATACACGGGCAACACACCTGGAAGATGTGCATCAACACAGTTGTGTCATGTGACAATTCTGACTATTTCATTATTTTTATTCCTCGTTCATGAAGTAATAAAATGATTGCATTGACGCCACTGTGGCGTGCAGCTTGGATCACGAACGTGACACATTCCGGCACGCAGAGAAACTAATTATGCGAAAAGAGATTTCACTCTAAAAAAAATGTACAGTCTGACACCCTTTTCTCCTGTAAAATACACCTAAAAATTCAGTTCGACGTACATCGCACAAACGTTGAACAGACGGCCACAACTTTTACGAGGGTCGTCGTTACGGTGCGGTACAACTTATTAAACAGCTGAAGTATGTATCAAAGACTACAGCAAAAATGATTATGAGGTTTTGCAATAAAGCCAAAAAAATACAATTTTGTATTTGTGGTCAGTAACACGTGCATTAGCTATTCTATTAAGTTGTCCCACTCGTCTATCAATCCGCTCGTGAAAATTGGTACCATCGGCTCGACGTCAGAGCTCTGTACGTCGAACTGAAGTTTGAGGCGTCTTATATGGGACAAGGGGTGTAAGAATATACATTTTTTTCTGAGAATCTACGCGAGCCCGTTGGTCGATCAGCGCATTATCTGAAAATAGCCGTAATTTACCATAACAACGTGTTGTAACAATAAACGTTTTGCTTGATGCTTTTCTCTAGGCGAGGTTGGCTCGAACAGTGATCTCTGTGTGAGCTGAACCGCCTAACCAATGCTCTACTCTGTAACTGTAATGAGAAAGCTTTATAGGTGATGCCTTTTTTTCATTTTTAAAGTTTAAGATAATAAAGGATAGAGTTACCGCAGTACAAGACAAAAACAATTACTACAATTGCCATACCAGAAATAATCACACAAGCCGCTCCCTTTATTGAAGGGTTTATACCGCAACTATGTAGAACGAGAAAACAAAACTGAGATGGCAACCACGCAAATGTTGTTGTTACAGTAAATGCGAGGGTCGAACAACCGCGGATGCTGATAGCCGGCCAGAGAGTCCTGTTTACTCATTTTAATCACTCTCGACTACGGTCACATCGCAGTTTACTATATATGTGTATTGCGTGAGGACTATCCATTTTAAAGTGTCATTAAAGGCTCTTTGCAAATTCTTCTACTCACATTTTTTTCTTCCTCGAGTTGAGGGTTGCGCAGCAAGAGGAGGAGCGGGCAGTAGAGCAGGTTGAGCATGGCCACGGAGCGCATGACCCACGGAAATCCGATCGCCTTCACCAGGTAGCCCGACACGCCTGGTCCTGGACGTCGACAAACAAAGATTAAAAGACATTCATTAAAAGACGGGCATGCTTATCGACCATACTTCAATGAAGCATATGAGCCACATGCCACTTTTGAGTACCAATTTCTGATACCCTCGTGGTCACGTACGCACCGACACACAGCGGCTACCGGGAGAACATTTCTCCGCTCGACTCAATCGCCTCCTGAGAGCTTCGGACTACGTTAAAGGAGGACCAGCAGAGATATTCTTCAGCCTGGCGGAAAGTCCTCCTCGCCCTCTTTTTTTCCCTTTCTCTCCTGTCTTGCAGCACGGCGAGGCGGGGGGAAGGGTCCCTTTTTGCGCCGGCTTCTGAGAGGATAAGCCGAGAAAATCCTCATTCTGACCGACGGGCGATAGGTGTGGCAGCAGCGACTTCGTGACTTACGGGTACCTACAGCTCCTATAGCGTACTCTGACCTATTTTTTGGCGCTCGCCAAGCCTAGCCCCTCGGGGGCAGGTTTCACGGAGCTGCAAGGCTGCACCCTCCCAGTCACCGATTTTCAGCTGTCAAATTTGTTTGGCTGTAGCCCGTGTCAAAATAAACGCATACTTGGGAGCTGCGGTGCATCAACACACCCATTGAAGGTACGTTTCATAGATATTCTTGGTTGATCAAGGAGCTCAGAACACATGCGCGAGATGTGGTGCCTTCAATATGTGAGGATAACTTACATATTCACAAAACATTCCATCTTCAAAAAACCGGCTTATTACGCTCAAACCTGCCGCAAATTGCTATGTACCAGGCGCGGGCATCTTGTAGCGGATCTCTGTTTTCGTACAGCGGGCACAAATTATTGGAGAACTTTAGTATGTTTTCAGGCCACGCTATATTTAGCGGAAACTCGCGCTGCCACTTCGATGCATTCTCTGAAGCGCGCGTCTAAAGTGGTAGTGGGCCTTTGAAAACGATTTACTAGAATCTCCTGTTGTGTGTCTAACTCGCAGAACATGATGGCCTGCAAAATATATGAAATTCATATTTACACATTCTAACAACCATCTGAGGTGAGAGGGCATTTCTGGTGTGGATGTCAATATCAAAGTTTTAGTGGGTCGCTTTTAGCACTTCGATGACCGTACGGCCCGTACCCCACAACGATATGTAAGCTAGACTCACTGTGAACATCCTTTATCGAGTGCGGCTATGGAGTGGGAAACGCAATATTGGCGAGTCTAGCGTGTCGTATTATGGTTCAACTTTGCTTGTATTGGTACTATAGCACGGGCCGCGCGCCGCTTTGAAGTATTTGTTGTGTCTCAAATAAAGACTAAAGCAAAAGCAGACAATTTTTTTTAATGTGGCACAGAATTGTAATTTAACATTATAAAAACATTTTAGGCGCCTTACACCATACAGTTAGCACGAACAAACTATCGCCGGTCTTTCTCCTCCCCCCTATTTTTTTTTTTTTTTTTGTTCTTAGAAAGGAATGATGTTTAGAAAGCTGTTAATACGAGTATCCAACCTAAGCGGTAGATTTTAGTGCGAGCCAATACATTGCTGTGGAAAATAGCAAAAAGCGCCGATGTTGTTCGCGCGAACAGTGTCGCGTAATGTACGCGTACCGCTACACAATCAACGGAAACGGAGTAAATCAGCAAAGTTAGGGAAAAAAAGTGGTGTTAATTTTTTATAGTTGAAAAGTTGTTATTTTTATATAATCAATTCGGTAAGGAGTGCTTCCATTGGGCACCAACCTACGAGGCATCCGTTTGTTGTTGTATACTAAATTCTGCATGGCCCTTGAGTAGAAATGGCAATATTGTGTTCGTGCTTAGCGTGTCACGCACAGTAATAAGACCAGTTCATTGCTTGAACATTTAAACAAGGCCTTTCTTACATCAAATAGACATTTTGCGAGTACGCTCTATTACTGGTGGTTCATGAAATAATCTACGTTGTTTATTTAGAGGAAAGGAAGTGGGGTGGTGAGGGGAGGGGGAATTGAATACAAAAGGCTGCTCAGGGAACCTCAAATTTTGTAAATAGTTCGCTCAACCTATAATCTTCAGTTAATTAAATCACCTTTGCTTTGTTTGTTTCAGAACTTTAAACAGTCGCGCCAAAGGCCAAGATGAGCGAAAAGTCAGATTCCCCTGTTTACTTGATCAAGAAGCGTATGCGAGATGGAACTGAAAAAGTATACGTGCGTAACCGTAGCAATCTCCGACGAAGCCTGAACCCCACTTCTTCTGAAACCTCCGAGATGACTGCTTTTGACGACTTGATAAAGCAAGCCAAAGCCGTTAATAGGTGTGACTCGTTGTCAGCTGTGATAATCAAGGCGCTGCGACGATTTCTTGAAACACGGAATTCAGAAGAACGATCGTCGAATGCTGTGTGCAACACACCGAAGCCGCTGCATCAAGAAGCGGAATCGCGCGCGATCACGCCTGACCCTGTAGGGGATCCATGCCTAGTTGTTTGCGACAAAGCCGCGCTATGGAATGTCATTCAGACTGTAGAGAAGCATAGTTCAGAGTGCAAGGAAAGTCTTATTTTGGAGAAAGTGACCGCCTGGGGCTTCGCATCACGAATACATTGTAAGTGTATTAACCATTCACTGGTGCTCAACACAAGCACGGTTGTCGGTTCCGTCCGGGCTGTAGACTGTTTGCTGACGGTGGCGTATGCCTCCTCTGGAGTTCTGGCGACGCAGTTTGAAAAGTTTTGCAATTTTAGCAAATTGCCATACTCCCCTCGCACTGTGGAGAAATTGCTTGTAGATATCGAAGGTGCTGTAGAGTTGCTCAAGCTTGAAAGCCTGGCAGCCGCGCAAGAGGGCGAATCAAGGGCCACCGAGCAACATGACCCCACTTCGACAGCAATTAGTGTCGAGACTGATGCTCGGCACGCTTGCCGGAAGAACTCCACTCACACAGATGTCGTCGCGCTTGGCCAAATGACCCACAAAGTTGTAGGGATTGTTCACGTAAACAAAAAGGATGAACTATCTTCCCAAAAGCACGAAGCGTTCGGTACCAAAAAGCTGTACGAGTACTTCGATTCTAAAAAGATCTCCGTGCTAGATCACGCACACGACCGCAACACCACAGTCAATAAAATAATCAGAGAAAAAAACGGGCCATCCAACTCCAACGACCGCTGGCACGCTGCGAAGAGCCTCAAGAAAGGATTTCTTGCAATTTCATCTGGACCGAAGAGGAACGAGGGCAAGACATGGCACGTGGAGCTGTCCGACAAGTGCCAAGCGGTCCGTAACCACGCGTACTATGCTATGGCCGCTTGTGAGGGGAATCCAACCAAGCTAAGAGATATTTTCATAAACTGCGTAAACCATTTTGAAGGTAAACACGAGAAATGCAGCGAGGAATCAATTTGCAAAGAAAATGGACATGTCCCGACAACGCTGCTCGTGAAAGACCCGCTAGCGTCGGAACTTCTAACAAAATTTCTGAAATCAACAACCATCTACAAGAACGCGGAAGATTACGTAAAGTCGAAGGATACATTCTATGTAGAGTCATTCAATAATACTATGCTAATTTACCTCCAGAAGAGGATTCATTACCAGGACAGAAGCTACAAACTGAAGCAGAGCTTGGCACTCCTAGACTGGAATGAGCATGTTGGGCGAGGCTACACTTCACGTTACTCTATTGAGGACTGTCGTCATCCAGACCGGCAAGGCGGGAAAAGGAAGTACTTCAGGAAGACATACAGGTAGAATATTTTGAAGTGTACAGTGTTGCCATGGAATACTAATCCGCTATTCTTTTCCTCCAGCTTCGTTCAAAAGATTCGGGAGTTGGTGCTTCGGTCTGCTGCCCTGGGAGATGCCAGCACGGTGAATGACGACTCCCTTGTGAATGACGAGAGTGTATAACTTATAGGTATGCCTAATGTAAATTTAAACTAGTACCATTGACGTATAATAACAAGCAAGCTTATTTCATTAGAACAGTTGGGCAATTGTTGTGTGTACTTCTACATGTTTGTTTGTTTTTATTTCCCAGCTCGGGACATCACTGGACAAGGGACAGAAAAAGCCATTCCGCGGACTCAAAGATGTACCTGTAATTATTACGCAAATATACAATTTTCATGACAATCTTTTGTCGTTGCCAAATACAGATGACACACAAGAGAAAGTGAACGCTAACCGGTACATACGATTGCGACAGAGCTTCAACCAGGGTGTGATCTTCCGAAGTACAAATTCCGAATAAACGCCCGTCGAGGGGTTTCGGAGTATATAAAGTGCTCACCCTTTTACACTTAGCGCATAAATAGATCAGAGCTCAGCAGAATGTACATCACCTCTTGGCTGTGCCTCTCGTGAGTCTTGAACGAGATATTAATAATTTCGATAAAAAAATAGATTAGCTGAAGAGAAAAATTAATTTGATTGCAGTCGAGACTCACAAGAAAAGCACAGCCTTTTACGCACAGTATATTGCGAGTATTTTCTGACGCACCGCGCGTGTTCTGGCATTGGCAATATTTGTTTCGGTGTTATACGTATATTTATCTAAGTTAGGCTCGATATCTGTCTGCTAGTGAGTGATACACTGTTTTTCCGTTCTCGTTTTTTCCAATTTTTTTTAACAAACTAAGCTAGCAATTCCTCTGCGCACCATGCCCTATTTATTTTGAAAATAAATGTGCAATATCATTTTGCAATTTATGCACTTGCCTAAGAGGATTGAATATTTGTAGCTGGGTTCAAGACGGATCCGCACCAGAAATCGCGCTCTTGTACCGCGGTACCATAACCATGGCTTCTTCAGTTTTGGTTTTTAGCTTGCGTTGAGTTGAGCGAACACTGCAAATTGTGGGATGTACCCGCGGCTCCACAGACAGAACTAAATTGTGCGACTCATCGAATCGGAGCATTGGCGATTTTCGATTTATTAAAGATGCCTTTAATAAAAAAATAAAAATAAAAAGGGTACGGCTCCTTCTAACCAATTGTTTGCTGACATAGAAGAGAGAAGGGGGCAAGGGT